ATGCTATTATTTAGTGATGGGCTCACCGCCATAGGGGTACCTCTGAGCAGTGGGCTTACCGACATGGTGTTATTAGTCAGTAATTGATTCACCATTATAATGCTGGCAGTGCCTGGACTCAGCAAGACACCTAATCGCTAACCTGACACTACATCTCTGGTGGAGTTTTTACAACATGGAGTCCTGCCTGAAACTTATTGTAGCTGTCGTATAGAGTGCAGTGCCACCATTTTATGAGTTCCTGATATATGGTGAACCATGGCTTTACATTCTAGTGATGGCGAGACTCAAGCTGCCAAGAAGTCGCCAACCTGGCTGTTCTTCTCTGGCAAAGTGTGTTAAACTTGGAGGACTATTTGAAACTTGTAGCAGAGGATTTATAAAGTTAAATTCCATCATTTTATGAGTTCCTAGCATATGGTGAGCCACGGCTTTACATCCTGGTGATGGTGTGACTCAACTAGTAAAAAACTCGCCAACCTGGCTCTCCTTCTTTGGTGAAGTTTGTTAAACTTGAAGGACTGTCTGAAACTTGTGGAAGAGGACTTATAAAGTTAAATTCCATCATTTTATGAGTTCCTAGTATATGGCGAGCCATGGCTTTACATCCTGGTAATGGCGAGACTCAATTTGCCAAAAAGTCGCCAACCTGGCTGTCCTTCTCTGGCGAAGTTTATTAAACTTGGAGGACTATTTGAAACTTGTAGCAGAGGATTTATAAAGTTAAATTCCATCATTTTATGAGTTCCTAGCATATGGTGAGCCACGGCTTTACATTCTGGTGATGGTGTGACTCAACTAGTAAAAAAGTCACCAACCTGGCTCTCCTTCTCTGGTGCCATTTGTTAAACTTGGAGGACTGTCTGAAACTTGTAGCAGAGAATTTATAAAGTCAAATTCCATCATTTTATGAGTTCGTAGTATATGGCGAGCCATGGCTTTACATCCTGGTAATGGTGTGACTCAACTAGTAAAAAGCTCGCCAACCTAGCTCTGCTTCTTTGGTGAAGTTTGTTAAACTTGAAGGACTGTCTGATACTTGTAGTAGGGGATTTATAAAGTGAAGTGCCACCATTCTATGAGTTCCTGGTATATGTCGAGCCATGGCCTCACATTCTGATGAAGGTGAGACTCAACTAGTACAAAACTCAGCAATCTGACTCTCCTTCTGTAGTAAAGTTTGTCAAACTTGGAGGACTGTCTGGGATTGATAGTAACTGCGATATCAAGTGAAGCACCGTCATTGTTTGAGTTTCTTGTAGATGGGAACTATGGCTTAATATCCTGATAATGGCTAGACTCAACTGATAAACATATCGCTAACCTGGCTCTTTTTTTCTGATGAAGTTAGTCAAACTTGAAGCACTGTCTGGAATTTATGGTAGACATTTCATAATGTGAAGTGCCATCACTTTCTGAGTTTCTGATCAATGGTGAGCTATAGCTTCATATCCTGATAATAGCTAGACTTAACCAGGAAAAGAATGACCAATCTGGCACTTGTTCTCTGATAAAGGTTGTCTAACTTAAAGCACTGTTTAAAAATTGAAGTAAATGTTATATCGAGTGGTGCCAGCATTTCATGAGTTCCTTATAGATGGTGAGCCACAGGGAAAATGTAACTGGCAATCTGATACTTCTTTTTTCACATACACTGATGAATTTCATATGATATAAAGTACTAACTATAAGTTGTAGCAGTAGCTATATACTGTGATGTCCTTTTATATGGACTTCTGGCTGATGTCAGGCTGTGTTTGTACATTTTGGCAAAGTGTGGATGCACTGAGATTCAATGCTGACAATCTGCTATTTATTATAAAGTGAAGTATCTAAGCCTTTCAAAACTTAGAGCAGCAGTTGCATTACTGTTCAATGCCAGTGCTGTATGACTTCGTAGTTGGTTTTGAGCCACATCTAATCATCCTAAATACACTCACAAGTTAGCATACTAACCGGCTGTGATAATCTTATATATGTATAATATGGAAGAGTGACTAAATCTTACAACAGCAGTTGTATGCTCTAAATTAGAAGTCTTGCATTACTTCTTGAAGTTTAGCAAGATACACACAGCCATTCTAATGATCTGTGAACACTTTGAGAAGTTCAGCATACAACTTACCATTTCTCTGCATGATACTATGTGTAATAAAGTACAACACTTTATATGCGAGATATGAAGTTGTGATTAGTTTTTATCATAATCACTTAGTGTTATGTGAAGAATTCAATATTGTCTACCTTTAATGAACTTCACGTGATTTGCTGAACTGGTCAAGGAATCACACTTTCCTTTTTAGTCTCCGAGTGCACACACATCTACATGAACATAATGGCTCCTATATGTGTTTTCTTCTATATATTTGAGATTCTTCTTCAATACATTTTTCTATCTACATTAAAGGATGGTGATTACATAGACCTTATATCACAGCTAGATAGATTCTTGACACACTTATAAGAAGTCTATAGAGCTCAGAGTGAAATATTGCTAACTCTTCGGAAGTGAACTTTGCTGTTTTTTGAGAAGTAAAGCTTGCCAATCACTTAACATTACAGTTGACTACATGTTGTCTTGAAAAAGATACATCTGTCATTTTCTAATAAATCTCTGGCATTTAGTTATATGAAAAGCAAAACACACTTTATAAACTTAAGTGTAGCTCTCTCCAAAGAATTACACTTAATTGTTATTGAGAATTAATAGCTGTTAAGTCACAATATGATATTGCTACTCCAAGTTGCAGTTCATACTCCACAGTATATAACTTTGGCCATAAGTTTCAGATAATACTCCATTGCATACAGACTTCATTACAGAAGCAGCTGGTCGTTTAGCATTTTATGTGTGAAACCATGGCTGGCCATCAATCAGGAACTCATAACATGGTGGCCCTTCACTTTATATAACAGCTGTTATCAATTCCAGACAGTGCTTCAAGTTGAATTAACTTTACCAGAGAAGGACTGCCAGGTTAGTGGAGAATCACCAGATTAAGTCTAGCCATCATCAGGATGTGAAGCCATGGCTCAACGTCTATCAGAAACTCATGAAATGGTGATGCTTTACTTTATATACTAACTACTATGAATTTCAGATAGTGCTCCAAGTTTTGTGAACTTTGTCAGAGAAGGAGAGCCAAATTGCTGAGTTTTTTACTGGTTGAGTCTCACCTTCACCAGAATGTGAGGTCATGGCTCGCCATATACCAGGAACTCATAGAATGGTGGCACTTCACTTTATAAATCCCCTACTACAAGTATCAGACAGTCCTCCAAGTTTAACAAACTTCACCACAGAAGGAGAGCTAGGTTGGTGAGCTTTTTACTAGTTGAGTCACACCATTACCAGGATGTAAAGCCATGGCTCGCCATATACTACGAACTCATAAAATGATGGAATTTAACTTTATAAATTCTCTGCTACAAGTTTCAGACAGTCCTCCAAGTTTAACAAATGGCACCAGAGAAGGAGAGCCAGGTTGGCGACTTTTTTACTAGTTGAGTCACACCATCACCAGAATGTAAAGCCATGGCTCACCATATACTAGGAACTCAGAGAATGGTGGCACTGCACTTTATAAGTCCTCTTCTACAAGTTTCAGACAGTCCTCCAAGTTTAACAAACTTTGCCAGAGAAAGAGAGCCAGGTTGGCGACTTTTTGGCAGCTTGAGTCTCACCATCACCAGAATGTAAAGCCATGGCTCGCCATATACCCAGGAAGTCTAAAATGGTGGCACTGCACTTTATAAATCCTCTTCTACAAGTTTCAGACAGTGCTATAAGTTTAACAAACTTCGCCAAAGGAGAGCCAAGTTGGCAACTTTTGTACTAGTTGAGTCTCACCATCACCAGAATGTGAAACCATGGCTCACCATATATCAGGAACTCATAAAATGGTATTTATAAATTCTCTTCTCCAAGTTTCAGACAGACCTCCAAGTTTGACAAACTTCGCCAAAGGAGAGCCAGATTGCTGAGTTTTTTACTGGTTGACTCTCGCCATCACAAGAATGTAAAGCCATGGCTCTCCATATATGCAGGAAGTCTAAAATAGCAGTACTGCACTTTATAAATCCTCTTCTACAAGTTTCAGACAGTCCTCCAAGTTTAACAAACTTTGCCAAAGAAGGAGAGCTAGGTTGGCGACTTTTTGGCAAATTGAGTCTCGCCATCACCAGAACGTAAAGCCATGGTTCACCATATATCAGAAACTCATAAAATGGTGGCATTGCACTTTATACGACAGCTACAATAAGTTTCAGGCAGGACTTCATGTTGTAAAAACTCCACCAGAGATATAGTGTCAGGTTAGCGATTAGGTGTCTTGCTGAGTCCAGGCACTGCCAGCATTATAATGGTCAACCAATCACTGACTAATAACACCATGTCGGTGAGCCCAGTGGCAGTAGGCCCATCTTTCATCTGATACTCTTGGAGATGGGCCCACTGCTCAGCTATTGTACTCTGGCTATGGACCTATTGGTGGCGATAACATGCTCTGGTGATGGCCAACCCTCTGACCTTTGGTGGTGAGCCCATTCTTCATCTTACACTCATGGTGATGGGCCCACTGCTTATTGATCATACTTTGGCGGTGGGCCCATTGCTCAGAGAAACATGCTGTGATGATGGCCAACACTCTGACCTTTGGCAGTGGGCCCATTCTTCATCTTACACTCGTGGCGATGGGCCCACTGCTCCTTGATTATACTCTAGCGGTGGGCCCATTGATGGCGACAATATGCTTTGGTGATGGCCAACCCTCTGACCTTTGACTACTCTGATGGTGGGCCCATTGCTGGGAGAAACATGCCCTGGCGATGGCCAACTCTCTGGCCTTTGGCAGTGGGCTGATTGCTGGCGAAAACATGTTCTGGTGATGACCTATGCCATGGGTGCTTGCACTAAGGCCCTGACTGAGGGTACTTTGACGATGGGCCCATTGCTGGCAGTAACATGCTCTGGCGATGGCCAACCCTCTGACTTTTGGCAGTGGGCCCATCCTTCATCTTACACTCTTGGCGGTGGGCCCACTGCTCAGAAGTACCCCTATGGTGGTGGGCCCACTGCTCAGAATAACATCTATGACAGTGGGCCCACTGCTCAGAAGTACCCCTATGGTGGTGGGCCCACTGCTCAGAACATCACCTATGGTGGTGGGCCCACTGCTCAGAAGTGCCCCTATGGCGGTGGGCCCATTGCTCAGAATAACATCTATGACAGTGGGCCCACTGCTCAGAAGTACCCCTATGGTGGTGGGCCCACTGCTCAGAACATCACCTATGGCAGTGGGCCCACTGCTCAGAACATCACCTATGGCGGTGGGCCCACTGCTCAGAAGTGCCCCTATGGCGGTGGGCCCATTGCTCAGAATAACATCTATGACAGTGGGCCCACTGCTCAGAAGTACCCCTATGGTGGTGGGCCCACTGCTCAGAACATCACCTATGGCGGTGGGCCCACTGCTCAGAAGTGCCTTTATGGCGGTGGGCCCATCACTAAATAATAGCATTATGGCGATGGGCCCACTGCTCAGAAGTACTCCTATGGCGGTGGGCCCATTGCTCAGAACTACCCCCATGGCGGTGGACCCATCACTCCAGCCTTCCCTTCATCGCCATGGGCCCATCGCTGACAGCTCTCTACACAAACCGATGGGCCGACGTCCGCTGGCAGTCCAGTTCATGACAATGTCAGGGTAAATGGGAGTTCAGTTCAGGTAACATGACTGAAAGATGTGGAGAATCGGAGGTTGTGCTCCGATGAGTCATGTGTTGGATCACGTGGTCTGGTAACGTAAAGGGAACGAAGAAAAGTAAAGGAAAAGATGTGCCATAACTGAGGAGCATTGTAACATCAGCTCCCGTCTAACATTTCTTGTCCCACAAGATATATTATAGCCTTCATCATCATCGGGGACAGTCCCGAACATAATGATCACCTCCACATCTGTAGCACATCTGCCAGCCAGTTCATGGTCCTTGTTCATGTGTATGTCCATCACGATAGGGATGACTGCAATGCGAAGAAGTCGATGCGTGTGAGAAGGAGGGTTGCGATAATGGGGATTGACCTGTACATGTGAACGAGGGGGGAGAGGTCAAACAGGAATTGGTTCTGGTGATGAACGAGGAGTGGATGCAGGTCTCCCATCAATGGTGTATCCGAGGATGTGCCCGATGTCTTCATCCCCATGCTCCCTCCAGATCTCTTGTGCTGTATGACTGACCGTACTGCGCATCAGAGACCAGACTTGGTCAACTCTGGTTCGGGCTCTACTTGTCCTCTCCTCTGCTGTGATGAGCTCTTGTCTGGCCATCTGCATCCACTCGACCATTTCTAATGCTCGTTGCATAGAAACCACCGCTTGTCGATCTTGCGGGTGATTCCATAGGGCGACGAGAATATCTGTGAAGTTGACAGGGATGCGGATGGCAGAGATCAGATGTGTAGCAAATTCTTGTTCGTCTGATGCGTGACTGAGTTCGATCGAAGGTGAAGGCGATGAAGCATGGATGAAGGGTGTCTGTGTTCGGAAGGGTATTCCATTGACAAGCGTAGGTGATGCGGGGATGCTCATAATTGTAGAAGCGACTTCAGCGAGTATGTTGTGAACAAGGTCGTCTATAGCAGAAGTGGGCATTGATGATACGTTGTTTTCTCCTCCCTTTATACCTTTCGGTCATTAAGGGGATCACGGTTATCTGTGATGTGAAATAGAATGTCGTGGATGTGGGTGACAATCAAATAAATGAAAATCCATTGGGCGATAAAGAGTATTCCCACGGAGATAAGAACTGCCTGGTCAGTTCCAGGCATTGTTCTGATCACCCCAGCCATTAGCGTGTGGGTTGTCTCGTGTGAAGAGTGTGTGTTCAACGAGTCATCTGATAAGGATTCAGTGGATGATCCAAAGAAAAGCGAGGGTTGTGCAGTGGAGGACGATTAGGAAGATGACGAGAAAGGCCGTCGTGGTAGTCATTCCAGTTTCCTCATCCTTTACTTGATTCCCCTGGTCCTTTTATATGCGTCGAGGGTGTGCTTTGCATTCTGTAAATTGTGGGCAGGTTCCCACGAGTTTTCTGCTGACGAATATCCCTTCCACTTGACTAAGTACCTTAGGTGACCTCGGTATGCCTTGTGATTCAGGATGGCTTCGACTTCGTACTCTTCTTTATTATCCACGACATCAGGTGGTGGGTTCACATAATTCAGACCATGTATGTCGTTTTCGCGATAAGGAGATAGAAGGGCGGCGTGGAATACGGAATGAACTCGCCAGGTCTTCAGGAGTCTGAGGTGATAGTTGGCTGGTCCGATGACTTCAACGATTTCGAATGGCCCCTCATGCTTTGAAGCTATCGTGCACAAGGCATAGTTGACCTTCAGGTTCCTTGAGTCTAGCCAGACCTTCTGTCCTAGTGTAAACTTCGGTGATCCTTGTCTGACTTGGTCCGCCATCTGTTGTCGGGCTAACTCGTGCATGGCTAGTGCTTCTAGTCTTATCTTCTGCAACATGTCAAGCCTGGATTCAACCGATGGAATGTTCGTGTTTGGGAATACGGAAGGGAGTCCACGTGGTTCGTATCCCATCATGATGCGGAATGGGCTCATCTTCCATGCCGAGTGTTTCCTCGTGTTATGACAAAACTCGAGGTCTGGCAGGTGATCGGCCCATGTTTCAGGGTTGTTTCCGCAATAGAGTCGAAGATAGATTTTCAGCTCCTGGTTGACTTGTTCTGTTTCTCCATCTGTCTGAGGGTGATAAGCTGTGCTCATTGATGATCTAATCTGGAGTAGTCGATTTAACTCTTGGAAGACCTTGGATGCATATTGAGGTCCTCTATCCGAGATGATTCGGTCAGGTAATCCGAATCGCGAGTAAACTTTGTCGTGAAAAATCTTGGCTGTCCCTTCAGCTGTGATCATTTTGAGGCAGAGTGTAAGAATCACCCCCTTTGTAAGGTCATGGTCTACTACGACCATAATTGAATCAAAGCCGTTGGAAACGGGAAGGTCGGTGATAAAATCTGTGGTGCAACAGGAAAATGGTAATGTGTGTGGGTCTGCGGGGATTGGTTCCAAAGGAATACGAGTTGGGTGAGTATTTGGTTTCATCTGTTGACAGGCGGCACAGCCTTTGATGTAATTGTTGACAAATGCATACATGCTGGGCCACCAAAATTCACGACGTAGGAGTTCAAGAGTATTGAACTTTCCAGTGTGGCCCATGGCAGGGGAGTTGTGATGTAGTCGAACGAGGTCATGATGAAGAGGTTCGGATGGTGGAACATAAATCTTTCCCTTGTAAAGGATGACACCATCGCGAACTTCCCAGTCGGAGAGCGAGGATTTCATTGGGAATGGCCCTTTGTGTGCAATCACTTCAAGGGCTTCATGAACAATGAGGTCCTTTGCTGCATGATTTCTGATTTCATCAAATAGTGTCGGGGAAATAGATCGCACAAACAGTGCATCAGGTAAAAGAATGTGATCTTCATTGTCACTTTCACTGTCATCAAGTCCATTACGATAAGATAGCGCATCAGATTGGATCATCTGAGTGCCAGGGACATGGATGAGGTGAAGATCAAATTGTGATAATTTGAGACTCTATCATGCTTGTTGGCAGTTCAACTTCTGGGCTGTACGGAAGTACGTGAGGTTCTTGTGATCACTGCGAACTTCAACAGAATGAGGAGAGCCTTCTAGATAATGGTGCCATTTGGTAAGGGCTCAAATGATTCCAAGAAGTTTGCAGTTGTAGATTTCGTAGTTTCATTCAGCTGGATTGAGCATTTGTGAAATGTAGGCACAAGGATGGAGTTCTCCATTGATATCAGCTTGTCGTAAAACTGCACCCGTAGCAAACTTGGAAGCGTCGGATTCGATAATAAAGGGTTTTGCTTTGTCGGGCAGCAACAACACTGGGGCAGTACTAAATCATTGTTTCAATGTATCAAAAGCTGTCTGACATTCTGTTGTCCATCCAAAAGGTGGAGATCCAGCAGCAGTACACATAAGGTTCGTCAATGGTTTGGCAATATCCGAGAAGTTGACAATGAATTTCCGGTAGAAGTTTCCAAACCCGAGGAAAGAGCGAACACCTTTTACCGTGCTTGGTTCAGGCCATTCTGCAATTCCTTTAAGTTTGATAGGGTCCATGCCGATGTAGTTTTCTCGAATGATCATGCCTAGGAATTCGACTTCCTTAACGTCAAAGAAACACTTTTCCGGTTTAAGGAATAGGTCGTTGTCTTTGAATCGTTGGAGTACGCGTCGGGTTCGAACATGATGTTCTGCCAAATTTTTCGAGAAGATGAGGATATCATCCATGTGAATGACTATCCATCCTTCATCGATCATGTCCTCGAAGAGTGCGTTCATCATCATTTGGAAAGTTGCCGGGGAGTTGCAGAGTCCAAAGAACATGACCATAGGTTCGAAAAGTCCGCGGTTTGTCTTAAACGTGCCCTTCCATTGGTCACCATCTTTGACTCTGACGTTGTTATATCGAGCATAAATTCATTGTTGTAAAGATTGATGCACCCTTGAGTTGATCTATGAGCTCAGAAATGAGCAGAAGGAGGTAGGCATTCTTCACTGTCCCTTCATTCAGGTATCGGTAGTCCTGACAGGGACGTAGTGCTCCATCTTTCTTTCCAACGAAGAAGAATGGTGAGGCCATGGGGGATTTTGATGGTCGAATGTATCCTTTCTGCAGATTTTCTTCTAAAAAGTCATCCATTGCTCCTTGTTCCTTGAGTGATAACGGATAGACTTTACAGTCATGTGGAACAAACTCGGGTTTCAAGTCAATGGCATGGTCCCAAGGCCTGGTTTCTGGAAAGCGTTCAGCTGCCTTCTTTTCAAAGACCGACTTCAAATTATGAAGGTAGTCGGGGACCAACTCCTCAATGGTTTTGGGTTTGTCTGCAGCTGATGCTTCCTTGTGTGCCTGTTGTGCCAATTCCTGTGATTTACCGGATGGTTTATAAAAGACCATATTCTGTGCATTACAGAATAATGGGAATTGAGTACTGTGCGTCATCCTTCCAATGGTGGGGCCTCTTTGTATCGTGAAGACTGCAATCTCAGTCTCTTCATTCGTCAAAGGCGATTCCTTCCTGATGGGTTCAAATATCCCAATAACTGGTTCTCCTGCGATATAGGAGATAACTGGATCATCGTCATCAAGCTGGTCCATAGAGGGTTCTAATGGTGGGTCGTCTGGTTCGGTATCATTCCACACTGCGGGTAACTTGTCACGCTCAGTGTTATCGGCCATGATTTCTCTCATAGATTCTGAATGTCCAAACGAGGTAGGAGAAGTTTCGGTGGAGATTAACTCCGGGAGTTCATCTTCCTTGAAAATTGAAACTTCTTCATCTGGTGCATCTTCAACGGTGGGTTTCGGTGGCCATTTGGCGTCTTTTCCAAACCAAAAGTCACCCAATTAATCATCGGATTGAGGTGTTTAAGCCATGGCATGCCGAGAAGTATATTCTCTTTGCCAATGCCAGTCAAGAGAAAGCGAGTAAGTGTCTTCCTTCCTCCAATCTTCATCATCTTCCAGGTACAGTGAGTAATGATACCCATCTGATTTGGTGTGCCGTCCGCATTTATGACTTTAATTGGTTTCAGTAATTCCCATCTGATAAAATCGTTTTCTTCCGCAAAGTGAATATTCATAAACATTTCGGCTGCACCGGAATCAATCAAGGCTTCAGTTGCAACGTCTTCCTTCTCTCCCAACAAAATATTCACAGTGATTGAATTTCCGCTAGTGTTACAAATAACGAGGGGAGATATAGTAAGGTGCAACGGTCCATGCGTTACTAATGGCCATCATTTCAAAAACCCAACTGGGTTCATTCTTCATCAGTCATGTCGTTGAAGACATTTTGCACATAGGCAATCTCTTCCTCTCTGGTTTCTTCCTTCGGCATCTCCTTCTTCTGTATGAGGTCTTCTCGCATCTTCTTGATCCATGTGTCTCTGTCCAACCCGGGCTGTATCATTCTAGCATGGATGAAACTTCCAGAATGGGGGTGGAATTGTCTGTCATTGGCTATATGGCCCTTCTTTTCGCATAGGAAACATAATCCTTCTTTCATTCTCTTCTGTTGCTCATCTGGGGATAAGTGCGAGATATTGATACGATCAACATCCATAGCATTTGGATCCTTCGTAGAAGTTGAGTAGTAGGGACGATGGGTAGATCGGCCTTTTCTTCGTGTCGTCGTAGTGGCTCCTCACTTGAAGATCTGAGCAGATCTCCATTGGTTGTCAAACTGCGAGGCATATTTGTACCACTTGTCAAGTGTCTTGGGCATGCTTTCCATCCCATATATCCTTTGTCGGAGTGGGTTATTAAGCCCCCACTTGAAATACTCGATATTTCCGGCATCCTCTAATTTCGCCTTAGATTCAAGTGATTGGAATTCGGCAATGTAGTCGTCCACGGTACGAGTCCCTTGCTTGATGTTATGCAGCAAGGTACAAGCGGTTTCTTCAATATTTTCATCGCCAAATGCTTTGTTCACATCTGTAATGAACTCCTTCCAATCTCCGTAAGATAGGAAGTTATCATCAGTGAGTTTCATTTCTATGAAACTCTGTGCCCATGACCCTGCTGTCCCTCCTTGCATGTGTGACAGCACAAATGCAATCTTCTGATTGTCCTCTTGGTAGATATGGCTATTCCCGGCCATGTAATTCTTGCATTGGTTTATAAATTCCCTAAGCTTTGAACGGTCTGAGCCGTTGAAGATTTCGGGTTTTCTGAAACCAAGTTCCTTCTGGCTGACATGGTGACAATCTTCATCCATGGTAACTGTAGCCATCGGTAGAGCGTAATCGGGTACGATTGGTGCAAGAGTTGGTTGGAGTATGGGATCCTGGACAGGGAGGTTCCAAGGGGCATCTGGTCTTTCTCCTGGATAAGAGATAGGTATGCCACTGTCTGCGATGTGTGATAGTACGAGCCCTCCAACGTTATGGGGTAGGGCTGCTTCGTAGTCACCACTTGGGTGATCAATGTGTTGATCTGGTCTGATGAGTAAAGGTCGTCCGTTTAAAATGTGTACGTTCCTCTGTGCATCCCACTCTGCCTGAGATAAAAGGAGATCGATGTACTGCCTGGGAAGAGCAGTCGGTTTGATGTAGTTCAAAGCCAGCGTGGATAAATTCTTCTGTGTGGCCTATGTCTACATGTTGACTGCACACCATCCTCAACTAAGTGGGTTCGTTCGTCGTTGGCTAACAAGCCCGTAGAGTGTCTTCTATCTTCAAACTGATACACCTATTTGCTGATTGCTCGAGTGATTACCTCAGCCTCCTCGGCCTATTGGTCTCTCGGACAGACCTCTCTCCGAAGATGAGTGATCAGTCTATCCCTTCAGCTGCCTCGATTACAAAGTAATCTCAAACGGTGCTTTAGCAATCGAATCGGGTGTATCATTTAGTCTTCAAGGTTCGGTCCGGTCAGTAGTTCGTTGTTAGACTTTGGGAAGTCACAGAGAGTAATGAGATCTCGACCTAATGTTACGCGGCAGTGAAACACAAGCGTCAAGTCAAGTCGTCACGAGACAAGGTCTTAGTCTAAGACACAAGTCCGTTCAAGAGACACTTCTGGCAATGTCCTCGCACTGAAGGTCGATCAGAGTTTGTTCTTATGACTCGCAGTAGCTGTCTGCTACTAACGGTCAATCTCAGTCAAAGGCAAGTGAAAAACTGGTTTAATGGTAACCAGGTCGAGATGGGGACCCAGCTCGATGAGGTCGTCTACTTATACAAAAGGTATCCACAGTACGACACAGTAATACGAGATCGTTCATTGGCTAGATAAGATGAAACGATGTCTGGGCAAGGTAACAGCGAGGAAGTAATATGTATGGGAAAGCTGAGTAAGATCATGAGAGATAATCAGTACTAATGGGAATAACAAGTTGTGTGTCAGAATAAGGTAAAAATGAGGCATGCATGCACATCTTGCATGTGTGATAAGAAGAAGGTCCGGAGTTGGATCCGGTGTAATCCTAGACTAGGGGTTCTGGTTATCTGGATAGAGAATCAGAGGTTGTGCTCTGATGAGTCACGTGTTAGATCACGTGGTCTGGTAATGTAAAGGGAACAAAGAAAAGTAAAGGAAAAGACATGCCATAGTTAAGGAGCGTTGTAACAGGCTAAGGATGCAGCTGGTGTGAAGGGTAAACACCATAAGGCTAGCCCCAAACATGTGTCATCCGATGAGGATGTCATGCCTCCTCGCAAATTGATCTCAAGCCAGCACTGTTCATAAGGGAAAGAGTTCTCACTCGGCGCCACTGAAACGGTGTCGCAAAGAGTTCTCTTCCAGCAATAATATTGAGGTGATCGATGACAGCCCAGACAATATGCCACTAAAGGCTCAGCGTGGTACCAAATAGCTTGCTGCTGTGCCAACCTCTCATGATCATGCTGTTCATTGTACTGCTGCACCACGCAGTGGCAGATGTGATACTGATTGTTACAATGACTGAGGTACGAAGTAATCGTTCTAGTTGGACTCTGGATGTGACGAGAAATTGCCCCAAGAAGCTGTGAGAACAAAATTTCAATACAAAATTTGTATGGAACACCTAGAGTTAGGGTCCACTCTGGTAACAAAGTTACTTACTGCTCTGCTTACTTGTCTACAATTTGCATTCAGTCGGACTGTGAAATTTTTGTATTAAAAACCAGCGCGACTTGCCCCAACATTGCCCAATATAGCTGATAAGATCTTTATCTTATCTGTTCGCCCTCACTACTTACTCTTCTGACACTTTTCTTCACTTTATAGTCATCTGTAAATTTTCACTCTATACTTTATATAATAGTTTACATCATAATATAGCAGAGGCCCTCCGGGCAGACCTGACCACGAGAGCATGAATTGATGAGAATAATTGGCAACTGAAATTTCTTTAAAAGGGTGGTTAAAAGCACACCTGCAACTGAGTGCTACAACTTTGCTGTGATGACTGTATCCAGTTGAAATCCCAATAAGAAATCAAAAATTGTGATGAAACTCAAGACCTCTCAAACAACTTAATGGTGTGCATGCAGTCTCATATGCATAGGTCTTGTTCACTCTTCTGCTGTCAACCTGCAGTTGACAGCTTCTGGGCTTGCATGAAACTCTGAGACAATACTTAGGTGGAATGCCTGATAGTTGAGCAGTGAACACCCACCACTACAAGGTAATAGCCCATCTAGCAAGGTACTCAAGTATATGTACTGAGATAATGGATGTGCAAAAGTCTTTTGTGAACTTACTGTGGGCTCTGGAATGCATTGTGTCAACCAGGACTGAATAATTTCCATAACAGGAGACTCTAACATGGCTAAACTGGTTTCAAGACCTGTACCACTTCATGGTCAGGAATTCATGATCAGGAATACCAAGTCAAAGGAAATAAAGGAAAAACACCATATTGAAAGTTGAAAGTACCATCTAGAGGTCTCGGAAGCAAAGCCAAACATCGCTTACCATAAAAGGTGATTTTTACACAGTTAAACGGGAATACTGGTTACAAGACCTATACCACTTCGTGGCCAGGAATATTTTGCTTCTGCTATTTAGCTATTGAATTATCTTTGATCCTCTGAGTTTATACGCACTTCAGGCATGTAGTTACAGTATTCTAGTCACTGTTTGTATAATCAAAGCTTGGACGATATGATAGTAAAATAAAGCATAAAAAACTACACATATAATAGCCTGAAAACACATCTTTTACTAATAGCAAGACATTCCTACATACCCTTGGCACCATGGGACAACTAGTAATACTGGGATATAAATATCAATACCCTATTACTATAGGATATCCCATATAGTAATTTCATATAATGCCCTTGGACAGGCTCTTAGCTATAACACACTATAGATTATGTTAAAGCTAAGAGCTAGATCAGAAGGGTACTCTAAAGTGTTTATAAGTGCTACATGCCTTTGCATAATACTTACTACTGGACAAGCATGTGCAGGAATCTTGAGGAATGTCACATTCTCTCGTATTGAATGTCAATAAAACAAGTTTTGCACAATAAAGGCTGCTAGTCCTCTTCACCTCCTGCCAGGCTCTGATGAATAGGACATATCAGTAGCCTTGAATTTGATCAGGCTGCTGCCAGAAGATGAAGGGTATGATTATATTCTCTTTATCACTGATCACATTCACTCTGATGTGTGCATTCTGTCAAATTGCATGAACATCACTGCCTCAGAGCTCTCTGTATTATCCTTTAACTAGTGAGACTATGTCAATGGCATGTTATTCAACATCATCTCTGATCATAACAAATTGTTCACTTTCTGCATCTGGACCAAGGTGCATAAGCTCACTGGGTAAAAACTGAAGCTATCTACTTATCATTATCATATCAACAGTCTTAGTGAATATACAAACAAAACTGTTAATCAGGCTTTACGCTATCATATCCATTGAACCCAGTGTGACTGGGTTCTGTGTGCTATTTTACAAACACTTTGACATAATGAATTTGCTTAACAGATTTACTGATTTCTTTAATTTCTAACTTAAGACTTGAGTGATCTCCCTGCCTCATTATCCTGTCATATCAAATGCACTCTCTGACATCTTTTCAGAATCACTTGTGCACCTTGCTATCAACATAATGGTATCCATTGAGCTTGACATGGGTGAGGTATGAGATAATATGATGCAGGGCAAAATATGTTAGGTGCGCTTCACCAATGTCACATGTGGGCCCAATAATATTTTTACAGTGAGCAACAAGATTTGACTCTTTATCTTCCATCACTAAACTACCTTCAAAAAGAAGAGATTCTATCAGGCAGCAAAGTTCTCACAGTGAGACAGTCCCTTCACAGTGAGACAGTCCCTTCACAGTGACAGTTACATGCCCTGAAACTTCAAACTGTACTCTGCTGCTTCCTAACAGTCTCCACACTTTCTTCACCTTCCACGCATCTGAACTGAAGTGACATAAATATAATGATCCCCTCTTATTCTCCAGCAGCAAACTTAAACATCCAGGCCCTGTACTCTCTGCAGAAGATTTGAAAGAATGCACAGTCAACAAGATCCTCGACTCCTACTTGGCTGTAAATGGCAATTCCTTATTAGATGAGCTGAGTATGACTCCAAAGACAATTATTGGCTACTATGTCATGACTGCAAAGACTGCACAGCATTGGATGTTTAGTTGACTTAGAGTGGTAATGGTCTCACTCAATAGCTTTTTCTCACAGGGTTTTGATGCACCAATTTGCAGGCTGTTCCCTTGGTGCTACAAAGTACTTTCTCTTACTTTCCTTTTTATCTTATTCCTTGCTCACATTCATTCTCTTTACCTCACCCCATGCTCCTTCTTTAATTACACAGAGGATGTAAGGATGTAAGCCTGCTGCTTATGACACATGGTTACTCATCATATTGTACCTTATTTGTACTACATTGAAGCCACATTGACTTTATCCTGTGGATCTTTCATCATTATCTGCTCTCACTCTCTTATTATTTCTTATACCTAAATCTAGCCATCTCCTTCTACCTTGCTTATTTAATACATGCTCATCTAGTTCAGTTTAGTG